TTCTTTTCATTAAAATAAAATGAATGCTTTCAAAAAAGCATGTAAACTCATCAAGTTCTTTCTTTTCTTTGGTGTAACAGGAAGGCTCTGAATGGTTGTGGCCACCTGACCACTTTAATCTTGATGATTTTCAAAAGAAATCAGCTTTCAGCTTTTGTTGATCATTACAAGTGTTTGGAGCTTTGAACTGCTAAGAGTATTGTATCTGTTTTTAAGCAAATGCAATCATCAAGGATCTCCTAGTATTTTTTGCCTCATATTTGATGTTTTTTCCCAACATATTAGGAAAAAGTAATTTTAGGGGAGTTTTCTGTAATTATTTAACTTGCCTTCTGAGGAAACCTCTAAGAGCCTATATTGGAAATACTGGAGCTGATTCTAGCTCCCTTGTTCAATGCAATACTGGGATATGACTTTATGTCCCTGGACTTTAATTTTGCAATCTGTAAAAACAGGGATAAAAATTTGGTCTTATCTACCTAGCAGGGATATGTTGAGACTGCAGAAGATAGCACTGGAAGGGTTTTGAAATCTATCATGAATATCCCAGAGGTCAGGATCATGACCCATGGTCATCACAGACCCATGAAGTTGGTCTTCATTGAAGGCAGCAAGAGTCTGACACTTAGTAGATGCTCCATTAATGTTTCTTGAACGGTTTTATGGTATGCATCTTTACTGGTTATTGAGATACATTTAGGACAAGCAGAAACGAACCTCAACCTCAGTTGTGAGGATTTATGTAGTTTGAAAGAAAAGTGCATGTGTGTGCCACAGTGAGCTGCAGGAATGTCTCCTGAAGAGCATTCTGCAAGTGTCTTTTCCACCTGTCCTTCCACAGTTTTCCTTGATCCTGTTGTCACAGTTAGCTAACTGATTCTTTGGAGGCATTGCCCTGTTTCATTTTGCTTGTGGTCATCAACCTTATTGTCAATTTAAGGGACATCTTTGCTTAGCTAAACACAAATATCTGTACATTATTACATCTTCCAGTGACCATAGGATGTGGCAATGAGAGATGTGAACTTGAGGGCAGTGCCTGGAAGAAGAAGATGTGCCACAGAGAGGACAGGAGCTCAGGATTCAAAATTATTTAAAAGATTCTGTCATAAGATCCTGACGAGATGGGGCAAAGGGTATTTAATTTTAAGGAACCAAATTCTAGGAAATCAAAACTAGTTACAGGTGAAGTTCTGATTAATTATCCTTTACAAAACAACTACCAAATGGACATGGCAGACAAGATTTCATCAAACCTGATCTTAGTCTACTTTCCCACCTTGGTTAGTCATCACTCTCACCACCTGTTTACTCATGAGACACATATAATCTACATGTGAACATGTAGCAGCATGAACATGAAGGCAGCAATGTCCCCTTCTCTGAACACGTCATATTTTTACTCTTCTTTGCCTTTGTACCTACTGTTATCTCTGCCTGGAATACCTACTTCCTGTCTCCCTCGGAAGCTCAGAGTTTTATGACGATATAATTTCATGTCTGCCTCCTCCACAACCCATGAGCCTCTTGAGGGCAGAATCTCATCTCAATCATTTTTACACTTTCGAATCTCAGTCAGGTGCTGGCGGGGAGTGTTTACTTACTGAAGGCATATATGTAATTGGTGTCTGATACAACTTTCTGTGAAGATGTGAATGTTCTAGATGTGTGCTGTCTGGTCCAACAGCCACTAGCCATATGTGACTATTGAGCACTTGAAGTGTGGCTAGTGCAACTGAGGAGCTAAAGTTTTAATTTTAATAAATTTAAATAGTCACATGTGACTAGTGACTGCTGCACTGGACAACACAGCTATAGGTAATGATAAAAGAATGGCCAAAAGAGATTCTAAGAAATGCTGCTCACGATCTATGACAAGAGGACTGGTATAAACCCAAACGAGTGAGACCAGAGATGAGAAAGGGCATTCTACTCAACCCCATTTCTCCCTCACGCGATGTTGATCATGTAGTTCTGCAGCTGGCTTGGAAGCCAGAAGATGCCAGTATGCATAGCTGTGCTTTCTCTCTCTGACTTGACTCCACTCCTGAATGGTCAACATACTCTGGTTGGTTGGTGGCTGTAAAAAGAATCCTTTCCATAAAGTATGAAGAGGGCTTTGGAAAGGGAATCAAATTCAGTGGCAAGGGAGGGAATGAATTTCTTAGAGTCCACTGAAGGAGCCCTTGTAATACAAGGCAGTGCTGTAAGACCCTTCTCAGGGTGGAGTTGCCTTGTCTTTGGCACACCATTCCTGAAAGGCCAGGAAGGGCCCAGCTCAGACAGGGAGACAGAGAATGTCTGGGTTGGGAAAGAGAAAGAGCACTGCAGGGTCACCAGTTGGAACAGACTGAAACCAAACCCAGCTGGAGGTCAGGCGACATGCTTTCCAGATGTCTCCCAGGGACTGGCTCCCATTACTTTCTGCAAAAGAGGTGCTTGAAATAAAAGTGAAATCACCACAGCTCCACAGTCATGTCTTTGACTCCCTAACACTGCCCCGTCCTTGCTGGGGAGTATTTAAATGTTCATCACCTTGAGAGTTTCTGATCATGGCTTCAGAAGATCCATGAGTCCCTGGAATGGTAGGTCAATTTTGTGTGTATAAGTATTTTCTAGAAAAATGAATCAAAGCATTTGTAAAAAGTTCAAGATTTATAAATCAAAAGATTTAGAACTGCTGTTCTATTTTACATTCTACCTGCCCTGTCTCATATGAAGAACCAAAGGCTAAGAGAGCAAAAATGACATTTCCCAGGCCATGCACTGAGTCAGTGGCAGAACAAGAATGGAAGAGGAGAGACCAAAGGGTAGAGCTCATAACTCCTCATCAGAGACCCATCCTCTCTTCCCCAGCAATCATCAGCACTTTTGAAAGTAGTTGGTCTACCTAATATGCACCCATCATGTCAACGTCAGCCTTTATTTCTCCAGTCTTCATAATATATCGTGAGAAACTTAGTTGTGCTTGGGTGAAATCCAGAGTGAAAGTCAGGTCTTCATGATTCCCAGTGGTCTCTGGAAACTGCAGAATTAACACAAATAATCTGTTCATTCTCAAAGCAACCAAATATTATCTGTAGTCTGAATAAATTACATTTTCCACATACAAATGAGTGCCTTAAAATGAATGCAGATGCTATTGAGATAAAACAAAATGCTAATTTATCTAAAGTTAATTTATTTCAAACAAAGCACTAAAAGTTAAACAACCACAATTGGGGCTACAAGCTTTGAAGTATTTTGATACCATAAAGGAATCCTCACACTCACAAGAGTATGAACCATTAAAGTACGTCTACTATATTTTCCTGACTTGGCAATGAATAAATAAAGTAAGTTCAAGTTTATTTCTTCATAACTAGTGTTTCAAATGTTTTTTCTATTCATTAAATTAAAAAAAGCTGTTGAGATATCTCAAGTGACGGTGCCCTATCCCATGACCAGGGTGCCTAATGCTGCCAGGCATTCTCCATTTCATGGAGGCTGCTGCCACTTAGAAGAAGCACACAGGTTTCCGATTTGTAGGAATAGGATGTAGGTACCCCTAGGTATCATTTCTAGGGATATTGGCCTTATCTGTGTGTAGATGGGTTGAGGTTATAATAGCTTTTTCAAAACTGAGGACAACTGGTACAGCTATGGATTGTAATGGGAAGGTGCCTCTGGGGTTGACTGGATCCCATTCTGCCAACTGCATGATGGGCAGACTGTCTCATCCTAGGTCCCAGAAGGAAACAAATGGCCAGTGCAATCTTCCTGGTTTTCTTATAATAAAGACACCATTTATTATGCTCTCTGCTTTGTTTATTCTCACTGAGATTTTTCATAAATAAAAACAAATTTGTGGATTATACAGTTATGCATATGTAAAACATACTTGTTGGGACCCTCCAGTTGTCTCACATCATTTTCTCCCGAAAGTCCTTAATTACATTCTAGGCCAAATAAACCCAAGGGAATAAGACCACACATAGTACTTTAAACTGTGTTTTAGGAGATGATGGATAATGCCCTCACAGTAGCAGCTTCTTAAAGACATTTCAACTCAGAGTTGTTTGTTTAGACATCTAGAGACAGGCACCCCATTCTGCAACTAGAGCACAGAGGACCTCCTTCTGCCTGAGTTTTTGGAAGTGAACAGACAAATGGCCCTGGTCCTGCTATAGGAGGCACACAGGACATCTCCCCAAGAAGACCGTGGAGTTGCTTGCCAAAAGGAAGTTAACACCAGCAGGGACTGCAGGGGCAGCAGAAATTCTGTTATAAGGAAGCAGGCTCACTAGGAAAACACATGAAGGTCTTGCTAAGTTTATTTATAGAACCGAGTGGCTCACATGCACCAGACCTACTCCTCGCCCAACATTGGCAGACATGACTCTCTAGTGTTTTACGTCCTCCAGAGTTAGCATAGGCTTTGGGGCTCTATGTCCTTTTTTCCAGCCAATAGCCACCATCTTGTAATGTCACCGTTCCTTCCACTTAACACTTTTTTCTCTACTATGATGCCACTACTCCTGTGTCTCATGTTAACATTCCTTCAGTCATCCATTCCTCATCATAATGGATTTTCAGACATTTTTCTCCAGAAAGTAGTTTTGACAGTGATCTGTGGGACATAATCATGAATAGTTTGATTGCTAATGAGAAGGCAAAGAATATTATGTCATCAAGGTGAGTGAAGATGATGGGAGATGAAAAAGGGAACTCTATATCAGTCCACTTCAATGGACCAAATACCTTTATGTGTTTTGGGAGTTGAGTTCCAGGTGTAAGAAGTTACCAGGGCCATATATGATTAGAATTGGAAATAAGTTCTTCATATAGCACTTCACATCATGGGCTTTTCTGATAATTTATCTTGCTTTTATCAACTACTAATGAAAGCCAGTAGGGATAGATAACTACTGACTCCACCCCTATCCAAAGCAGGATTTCATAATACCTGATTACAAATATGCCCTGTACTTGACATACTCTTGGAATTTTTGCATTCCCAGAAATAGAAGAAAGAAGCTTACAATGTCCACCCAATTTACTAAGAAACAGACGAGTTTTGGAGGTTTAGAATGATGTGGTTTGGACCAAAAGATATGATTGGTAAGTGTCACAAAAGTGCCATGTAAATCTGGAAGATGGTACTTTTGCAGATGCCTGAAATAGTCCCAGCCCAGCAAACCCAGTTGATAATGAGTATCTTTTGTCAACAGAGGAGGCCTCCTGAAACTAATTCATAAAAATAGTTAACAGTGGACCAAGTGCTTTCAACCACAGGATGTTGAGGATTTTTCACTATAGCCTGAACTTTTAGAAATAACATTTGTCAATGTTGTTTTTATAAGATGATTGATTATTTTAGTTAGCAAGAACTTAACAAACACCTACACTAGATGGATCAGTAACACAAACATGAAAACAGGCTTAGTTTTGGGTATGAGGCACACCCAGATTCAAATGGCTTCTAGGGAGCACACTTGGTTGTTGGTTTGAAAGTTAATCCAACACAAAAATATCTTTCTGAACAAAATTTCTGTACATAAGAAAAAATATAAACCCAGAATTATAGCAATGGAAACACAAATTTCAGTTTCTACAAAAATAGTTTTTTAAAGATCATAGAAGATGAAAAAATTAAAAAGGAAACATACTGGCGTATTGGAATTGTATGGCTAATTTTTCTCATTTTATATTTAAAGAAACTTAGGCTCAGGTAGGGAAGGGACTTTTTTGAAGTAACAGAGTAAAAAATTTCATAAAATTCCAACTTTTTAACTCCAAGTCTAGTATGTTGCTCCTTTCTCTCCTAATCTTCATTGTTTTCCTATTGCCTTCCTGCTACTGGTAACAGTTTTGAGTTTTTTTGTACTGAGGCACTGACGAGGCCAGGAGAAAGTGCACAGGAAGTCATCATTTGCCTGCACATAAGCAACCAGGCTTTTTATTCCCTCAGTTGAAAATGCAGGCTGTTTTTTAGTTGGGTGACATAGCAATTAAAAAATTCTATATGACTAAACATTCTGGTCACCTCTACAGAGGGTTATATTTCCCACATGTACTTTTCCACAGAAGCCATCGTAGAGCTGTGGTGTGATTCTTTCTTCCCTTCCCTCCAGTTGTCTGCGTCTTTCCCACACATTGTAAGGAACAGGACAGTCCCTCCGACGTGTTGGTCCTGGCCACCACGCAGATCATGTGGGGAGAGAGGCAGGCTGCTTCAGGGAATCCTGCCACAGAGGCTGGGTGGGAGAGAACAGGAGCTCGATGTGAAGAACAGGGACAAGAGAGCAAGGTAGAGCAGCACCAGCGTTTTCGGAGTCAAGGCAAGAAACTGTGAGAAGCCCATCTTAGAAACCCTCTTCTCTGAGCTATCCCAATAATGCGATTTTATTATACTGTTGGGCCCTAAGATAACATTCTTCTACCAGGAAGAGGGAGATTGACTATTTTATCAGTCATTAATTTTGGTAAGTATTTTTGAGTCTTATTCATATAATAAAAACTAGACTAGATGGAAAAACAACTGGCAAACTGTGTGTGTGTCTGTGTGTGTATGTGTGTGTATTATTTATCATATATATCACATGTATGATATATGTGTGATATATATTATATGTATATATACTTCTTGATTCTGCTCAGCTTTCTGTTGCCACGTGAGTATAGAATTTATATTGGGTTCTGCAAAAGACAAACCTCCCCACTCAAAGCTTTTGCTCATTCTGGGATTCAAGAGTATTACAAACTACCAATGCAAGGCAAGGCTGGACAAATGGGCAAATGAAGAGCGCTGATAGAGACAGACCTTTGGGAGACTTTGCTATTGATAATTCCTTGACTGAGAGTCCCACCAGGGAGCTCTTGCAGTGGCTGGTTTCAAACACCTCTGGTAGCTCCCACAATGACATGCACCTCTGTACTCTCACCCTGGTCTCAGCATTGAGGCCTGAAAATAATTGCATTTTCTTTTCCTTAAGAACAAAGATAATCAGTCCTGTTTTTATTCACATGTTTCCTCTTATTTTATCCCTTGCCAGGACCCCCTGAGGCAGATCCCAGGTAATTCTGGCAGTTGCAGGCTACCTAGGAATACGGCTGTTTTTTGTTTGCTGTCTGGGTCAGGTCCAGAGCAGCTTTATGGAGGACCCTTTATATTCTCATCCTGGGTTATCATGGAGTTCACAAAGGAGGAATACCTCGTGTTCTAACAAAGTTATTCAGGAAAAGAAAGAATAGCATTGGTATTCATTTGCCAGGTATATATTTATTAAAATAGGGCTCAGTGTTGGAAATAGAAAGAAATAGATAATCCCTGCTGTGGAGAGGCCCACACTGTGGTGGGAAAGCAGACATGGAAACAGGCAATGACAAAGTGGTGTGCTGCTAGCAGACAGGTATGCATGCAGTATAATAGTAGCATAGAGAATAAAATCATCTCCCATGTGAGAAGGAGTCATAAAAGAGGTGAGAACTGAGTTGAGCTATAAGGAATAATCTAGGGTTTACCAATCTAGGAAAGGGTAAAAAAATAAACAGACAAAAGACACAGCATATGCAATACTGCAGAATACATATTATAGTTAATCTATTACTCTAACTCAAGTGGGATAAGGTGTAGTTTATATTTCCCTCTGAAGCCATTGCAATTTTCCCTTCACCTATTGGATTTGTTGTTTGTTTTGAGAAATAAATAGATAAGGAGGAAAGAATTAAGGGCAGAGTGGGATAGGGAGATAAATAAGAATACAAGTAAATTTGCTAGAGCCTTGCTTACATTATTACCACACTAAAAGAAAGATAAGAAAAATCTCCTTCAAAGTCACTGATTCATTTGTGCAAACCCCTAGTAACACCTAGCAACTTCCTATTATTGAAATTGTGAAACTAAGCCTGGAATGGAACACTCAATATCAGCCTTAGTCATTGATCCCATTGATTCAGCATGGTGCTTCATGGAATCCAGGAGATTGCCTAGAGCAGGATTCATTCTTTCTGTTTCCCCTAAAGTGCCAGCAAAGCACCTTCAAGTGGAGCCAGCTGATCTGAACAGCATTTGAGCATGCGGTGCTCCCATGAGTTACCAGTATGTGAGTTACAGGCAAGATGTGCACACAGGGATAGACACCACTGACTCCAAGAGGCCCCCAAGGGAGGAAGACTTCTTGGTCCATCAAGTTTGGTAATACACCTGGATCCTTCAGCAATGGTGTACAAAAGAACTCTCCCTGAAGAATAGGCTCCTGAATGCAACATTATTTATGGAAAGTGAAGCAGTACAATGAAGGACCTGGCCTCTTCCTTTCTCCTGGGCTCTGAGTAACTCCCTTGGGAAGGCTGTCCAATCATGGCAGTCAGAGGTTATGTCCAAGTGTTGTTTGAGGGGAGCAACAAAGAGCCAACTGCAGGTGTAGGCATGCCCCCTCCTCCATCCTAGGCCTTCTGGAGAAGGCTGTGCTTTCTGAGAAAGGCCTAATGAAAAGGATCAAGCTCACACAGAGTCCCTGCTGTGCAGGAAGATTGCTTCCAAGAAGCGATTCATTTTTAGTTTAACAACTGTGCGTTTGGTCCCCACACAATTTATCTTCATGCAAAATCACATACCTGTGTGCCAGATGTGCACAGCTGTATATGAGCAACTGCTGATCTATCTGTATCACATGCCAAGTGCCTGTTTCTTTAAATTAGGGTGGGTTGAGATTTGGGCCGTGTGAAAATTTCATTTTGAAACCAGAAACCAAGCAAGCCCTGACTATGGGGCCGGGGGCGGGGGTGGGGGATGGTGATTTGAGCATAGTATGATGATGAACCAAGGTTGACTTAGTCTTTTTCAGGACCCCCCAGAAACTCCCCCTTTCACGACCCCTAAGATTCAGCTGCATTCTAGGTCTGGAGAGGTTAGGCTATCTGGAGACTTAGTTCTGCCAAAGTGTGCGGCCCTTGTAAATGCCTGTGGTGAAACTGCAAAACCTCTGCCCAGCCCTCAGGAGCTCTTGAAGCAAAATAGAACCTGACATTTTTAGATGGTGTTTCAGTTTTTACCCTCTGAATTCAGAAGAAGCAAGATCACAGTACACGAAATGAAGGCTACTACCCCAGTAGCAGGGCATTGCAATCCACCCAAGAGCAGGCAACTGAAGTGATGAGGGGATCGTTCCTCCGGAAACACACATCTTTGCGTGCACTGAGGGATCCGCAGCAGTACACGTGGACGTTTCTCCTCTGGTCTTGCCTGTTTGTCCTTTCATGGCCAAAGAAAGTCAATAGGAAAAGGAGACTCATCCATCGTTTTGTCAGTTTATGACCTATTTTTGAGTATCCACTAATGCTAGGTGTCCAAGTAGATATCAACAGGAGGTAAAGGAGTATAGTGCTTGACCCATAATAAATATTCAATATATGTTCATTGCTGATAAGGTGATTGCAGATGTGCTTTTTTTTTTTCAATTTTTGAGGACCTACCAGATGTCAGATACATAAAGTCCCCTGTTAATTCTTATATTGCAACAAAGCAGGCAATATTACTCCTATTTTTCCAGTAGGAAAACTGAGGCTCAGAGAGGTTACAAAACTTAATAAAAAGTCATATATCTCATACATGGTGGAGTTAGGCTTAAGATTTAGCTGTGTTTGATTTCAAATTCTGTCTTTGTTCCACTATGCTGCTGCTGTTTCTTCTCTAGCAGTTCTCAGAGCCTCAAGAGAAGGCTTTTCCCTCTGGGAGTGTACTGCATTTGCTCCTTCCGGCCTGGGGACCTGCCTCTTTAATAGGTAACCTGGATGAAAGACCCCCAGAGCGGCCTCCCCACAGTTACACCTCCTAGTTCCTTTCTGGTTCTCACATGGGCAGGCACTGATAAATCAGCTCACAGTACACAGGCTCCATTTGAATTTCAACAAAATTTTCTAAAAACAGTAACCAGATGCAATTCAAATCACATTGTGTCCACATAAGGAATCCATTCCAAGAAAAGTCAGAGGATGCATCTCAGTCAGAGGAGTGGCTTCTAATCTTCCCTGGCCTTGTTTTAGAACTCCAAGAAGAAATAATATCCAGATTAATTTTAGAGTTCAGTCATTGAATTTGGTCTCAGGAAAATTGCATATATAATTTAGTCTTATAACGATGACCCCGAGATCAAAGATCACTCAAGGGTAGTGATCCTTCTAGACACCTGCCACACTCAAAACAATTTCCTCTTTTCAGTTTAAAGAACTATTTCAGACTTTGTTTTCTCACAGGCTACTTTGAAGAAACAGGCCACCATCCTGGGAGTAAAACAGAGTTCTTCACGAATTACATCATTTATTTTTCAACAAATATTAATTTAATTTGGTTTAGTTTAACAAGAGCGCATGATCACAGATTTGATAACCAAATGGATGCCCTGACGTATACTTCAGTCCTGGTTTAGCTCTCTTCCAGGGAGAAAAACAAAGTCTCTCAAAGGTAATTGGTATATCACTCTCCCAAAATGGAAAAAAAAAAGGAAGGGTAGGCTTTCAATTTTCTTAAACATAACTCAAAATCCACATATAATAATAAACAAATGGTTTAAGGCATTTATGTCATAAATGTCCTGCCATTATTTAGTTATGAATTTTCAGGTTCAGGAATTATGCTAAAACCCAAGAGTCATTATGGAATGTCTGTATATTTGATTTCCAAAGCTCCAGATAGATTTTAATGTGTTCAATATTATACCACTGTACTCCCCAAACTATTTCTGTATCCTCAGAGACATGTCCGAATAGCAGGCCTCTGTGTCTTCTGCTTAGTGAAAAGTGTGAATAATAGCTCCAAAAAGAATATATTTATAATATATAGTTTTTTTTTTACTTTAACATATGTTCCCACATAGCCAAATGATTCAACTCAGTACAGTTAACAACTTAGAAAGGGATTCATTGAATTTTCCAGGTCTCTTCATGGCCAGAGTTGCTTTGTAAGGAGACCCTAAATGTGGAATAATCAACATGTTAAAGTAATCTAGATGTTTATGATTTGATAACTCTTTGGTGCATTGTTTAACAACATGTTTTCAATTTACTTTCCTTCAAATAGCTCCAAATAACCCCGTGATTTTGGATGATTGATTATGGGAATGCTGCTTTTACTGTACATCCAAGGTAATTTTAAAATTACATCTTCTTTTCATTGTTAAGGGGTAAAATCATTTGCAGGTCTTGACATGATTTATCAGAGATAGAGGGACAAAGGGTCAGTCCTGGTCTCACTCTACTAGGACATTATTATGTGATCCCAGAAGGAAAGCACGCAGCTCTGTGGAAGCTGGGTTCTAGTTCCAACCTGTCAATAATCAGTTCTGTGGCCCTAGAAAAGTCATCAACTTCCTGGGCCTCACTTTCCTTCCATATGAAAACCAACAAAACAATTCAAATTGACATTTCTTACCTAGAGATTCTGATTCATTATAAGTGGAGATGGGCCCAGAAATCTGTATTTTCTGCTTAAGAACCTGATGTTTATAATCAGACCCGTTTGGAAAACACTAGATTAAATAGCTTCTAAGTCCAAGTCTAAAATTGTACAACTCTAGAACCAAGATTTTCTGTTTTCCAGACATTTTTTCTTTCAATGTAACTATTGGATTTTGTAAAATTATTTATCCATCTTAATGAAAAAATCTTACTTCACAGTGACTGATGCCTGTTTTTCTCAGGCACTGTGCTCATGCTTGTATGTAAATGACCTGTTTAATCCTACTAAGAACTTCACACTGTCAGTATGTTAGTATGGTTATTAATCCTAGACGCTGCAACAGACAAACTCCCCAATCTCAGGTGCTTAACAAAGTAAAGATGTATTTCCTGCATATATAAAATCCTCCTTCACCTTGTAACTATGCCGTCTGAAACACATGTTCTTTATAGAAAGACAGGGACACTCTGAATGATACCTATCTCGACACTTCTGTTCACAGTTCATTGGTTAAAATATCATATAACCTGATCTAATTGAAAAGCAGGGAAATATACAGGAAGATATACACATCTGGTGAGCAAAATCATTCACAGTAGAGAAGCTAGATTTCACAGTTTAAGAAACTGCAGCTCAGGAAGGCCCATTAAGAGTAGGGTGGGACTGGCTGGGCGCGGTGGCTCACACCTGTAATTCCAGCACTTTGGGAGGCCAAGGCAGGCAGATCACAAGGTCAGGAGATCGAGACCATCCTGACTAACACGGTGAAACACCATCTCTACTAAAAACACAAAAAATTAGCCGGGCATGGTGGCGGGTGCCTATAGTCCCAGCTACTCAGGAGGCTGAGGCAGAAGAGTGGCATGAACCTGGGAGAGGCGGAGCTTGCAGTGAGCCGAGATTGCACCATTGCACTCCAGCCTGGGTGGCAGAGTGAGACTTGTCTAAAAAAAAAAGGGGGGGTAGGGTGGGACCATACTTGAAGAATGTCACTTGCCATTTCATTCAAAAAAAGAAGGTAGAGTTTCCAATAACAGAATGTATATTTTTCCTTAGAGAGAAGATTTATTTTCCAAATACATAAATAGAGAAATGATATTGTTAAAGTTGTCCTTGGTACTGTGTCTTTGCATGCTGAAATCGAAAGACATCTCCCTCCTTCAAGCAGGCAGATATTCCTAATAAGTGGCCATGGGGTCTAAGGAGATTGACTTTGCTGTAGTCTACTGTGAGTGTGACTCACTCATGACAACGAAATAGGGATCTCCAGATGTCAAAAATCATTCTTTCAGCTTAGCTTTTTCAAACACTTCTCATCACAGATCATTTCTTCACAACCGAACCCGTGAAATAACAGCTTTGCCCATTCAGAGCACACCGGTCATAGATAGATACTGTTTTCTTTCCGTCAATTTTTTGATGCTGAGAAACCTCTCAATAATTCAACAATTAATTGTAAGGGTGTGGAGGGACTCCAAGATCTGTGGCAACAGAATTCGGGATGATAGGTCTTGTGTTGGAAGAGCCTCTAGTCTGCAGCAAAACAAAAAAAATCACAATAACAAAGACACGGGATGGTGCCATCATCAGTGTACGTCTGAATTAATGAGGCCTAGAGAAGGAAACAGGTACTTCTGCTGGCTTGAGGAGTCAGGAAGGGCAGGCAAGAGAGAGAGAAAGAGAGAGAGAGAGGATGATGATTGATACAGGTCTGCATGGATGAGGTGTCATCGGTCAGATATATGGAGGGGGGCAGAAATTGGAATGCATTCCAGGGGAGGGGAGAACTTGAGCAGGAACGTTTAGGTAGCAGAGAGTCTTAGTATTTGGGAGAATGCAGTGGGCAGGTGACGGCTAGAAATATGGCTTGAGCTAAATGTTCAAAAATCTAAGTATCGTACAAAGGAGTTTGGTCTTTACCCTATGTGCATTGGAGGCATCTGAGGTTTTTAACCAGGAGATAAAATATGTGCTGTGGAAGGATTATTTGGGTGTTCTGGAGAGATGGAATGCTGCACTTGCACGACATCTCTGGATAAATCTAAACAACAGTGTAGCACTGACAGATAGTTAACTATGCCCCAATATCTATCTTATTCTGCTGATATATAATAACAGACATTCAAGCCAGGCATGTGACTATTCAGAAGCAGGATGAATTTCTCAGGTTTTCTTACAGTTGGTATGGCCACGAAACTAAGTTCCAGTCAATGAGCTTGAAGACTGTGGCTGCTCCTGGAGGTTTTGCTTAAAAGACCTCTGACACGCCTGGAGGCATCTCTTGTCTTCTTGCTGCTACTTAGAATGCAAATGAGAGGTCTACCCATTTGGGCCACTTTTTGTCAAGGCCAAGTTGAATTGAAAAGGCCAGTTGATTTCTTCTTCATTTGAATTGCTTTCCCACTTTTGTTAAAAGTCAGTTGGGCTTACATGTGTGGGTCTATTTTTGGGTTCTCTATTCTGTTCTATTGATCAATGTGCCTATCTCTCTCTCTGCCAAGAATGCGTTGTGTTAAACACTGTGATTATATAGTCAGCTTTTATGTCAGGTAGAGTAATTCCTCCCAATTTATTATTCTGTCTCAAAACTCATGATCCATTTGAAGAAACACATTTTACTTCATAACCCAAAATACACATACATGTGTATGCACATATACATGAAACATGTTTCATGAAAAACTTACATTGATTATTTGTGATATGGCCTAATTTTTTTCTAACCTATACTATTGTATTCTATTTCATTCTATTTTTTCATTCAAACATACTGGCCATGATACACTAAAATGACTTCATTATCATCTGATAGATCTCTTGATCTGCAGTTTAAAAAACACTCCACTGGAGGGAGAGGGTAGTGCATATTAACCATAAATCCACCATATCGCCCATAGATGAAACCTATAGTGAAAGCCTCCTTGGAGGTGGAACAAACAATGAAGCTGTCCCGCTGCACATCATGTTTCTTTTCACTTGGGAGAAGGGCTTGTAGGGAACATACAGCCCGTTTTTTTGAGGATGTTCTCACCAGGAAAAAAAAATTTCCAGTCTCTAAATGTGGGATTGGTTTTCTTTAAAAATAAAAAAAAAATGCTCAATACAGAACTTAAAAACTGTAAAATGATATTCATTTTCATGCTAATCAGCAGACCAATTTTTCTTTACATATTGTCTTTTATCCTTATACTATACTGCTCTAAGAGTTATACGTTATAATTTCAATTTTCCATATGATGAAAATACAGACGCATAGAAGTTTAGTGATTTGCCCAGATTTGCATATCTGATTGGCAGCACAGGTCAGACTCAAATATGTGCCATGACCCTGAATCTCATGAATGAAACCAAACTGAGACCCTCCTCGTGGTCAAAAGTCAGAAGCCTGTAAAGGAGGGAGATGGACTCTTCCAGAAGGTTTGTAAGACTCTTCTGAAGATGACATAATAACTGCCGACATGGACCATGAAGCTGAGGGTGACACCCTGAGCTGCTTTCTTTTGGGTCTCCGAGAAAGCCTTCATGGAGTGGAGCCACCACACTAGCCCAAGACAGCTACAGCTGTTCTTCTACATGAGCAGAAAGAAAAACTTTTATCGGGTTTAAGTCACTGTTATTTTGGGTTTATGTTATTCACAGTTGAATCTAATCCTAACTGATACAACCACTATCCTGCAAAAACGGTGGCAAAAAAATATATATCACATATCCATCACATAAATCCACTTTTATAAGGAAATGAAGTCAAATTATTACCCCCAATAAAAAGGTGTTTCGCAACATGACCCAGGAATTTAGAAGGACCATTTGTTCACTATTTCTCCCTGTCTCACAGCTCTCGTGGCCTCAGCGGATAAGTATATGAGAGCACAGTTTTCCTGGTGTCAGAATATGAAGATCCAGGGAACAAAGAACCTCAAAGAACACCTGGATTGTCAAGGTTTGGCCGGCAGTGCACTTTCTCCAACCTTACAGTCACATGCAAGGTGAAAAGCTCTCTTGTTTTCTCTTTTCCTAAGTTTTCTTAAAGAAGAAAGAAAAGGGACAAAGATAAGTGGAATTGAAGAAAAATGAAATATAAACAAACTACACTTTTCCCTGAACAGAAAAGCTTAATTAAGCAAAGACAGAGAGAAGAGACATGTAGGATGCTAATTTAAACCACAGCCCCATGTCTAATGCTTTTAGCCAAGGAAAGAAGAGAAAAGCAAAAAAGAAATCTGAGTGAGAGGGAAGATGTCATGGTGAGTTTCAATGGGAAGAATTCCTTATTAATTCTAAAGAACATGATGCAACATGGATTTAATTATACAAGTCAACCCACCCACATTCCTCTGCTGCCTTTCACACACATGGGCTTCTGAGGATGATGAAAGGTGGGTGGGGAGAAAGGGATAAGGAGGCAAAGCACAGGATGGCTAGGGCCACTGAGAAGATGGCTCTACCCTAGAGCTCTGTGGCTGTGGCTTCACCCTCTCTAAACATGAGCCCCCGGTTGCCCAACTCCAGTTGCTGCAATGGCACCTGACCATGGCCTAGCTAATTCATTCACCTTGGGTCCGGGACACTTCTGTGTTGCTCTATTTACTGTGAGGGAAACTTCTTAAGCCTTTGAGAAATGGAAAGAAGGAGGATAGATAGGAGCTTAAAAAAATCTCTCAGCTGCTTTTAATTTCCTATGGGAAACACAACGCAATCTCACCAAGTTTTTCCCTAAGAGCAAGTCTCCATTAAAACTCCGAAGAGTTTAAATGTTTTAGAAATTTGAAACACTACTCAGGTTTTCCTAAAGTTTCCTTGGGACTTTTAATCTATACTGTCATCAATACCCCAATCTCTGCACCAGCAAAATAATTTAAAATGTCCCATAACCAAGACCCCATTGTTTCTTCCTGCTTTTTCTTTCACTTTCAGACAATACCTGTGAGGGTCCTAGCTGAGAGAGACCCACTGACCATTCTGTGCTTTAGCTAACTATCTCTGGACAGTTTTAGACTTTTAAACTGAGGACATTCCACTTGGATAGAAAGCCATGATGGAACTATGAAGTCACAGGGCATCAGCATGAGGGTTCAGTTGCAGATAACAAAACAAACAAACACCCACTCTAGCTGTCTCAAGCAAAAGGAATGTGATGCAGGGAACTGCGTGCTTAGAAAACTTTTGAAAGGCTTTAGGCAGACTTCCATGAAAGACTCTCAGGACAGCACCACCGAACTTGTCTGTCAAAGTAGCTACTTCATCTCAACCAATTTTTGAAAGGTGATTTTCAAAAATTTTTCAATGACTCATTTTTAAAAACTAAAGTTATTTTGAGATAATTTGAGATTTGCATGCAAGTAAGTATTTAAGAAACAATACAGATTGCTGGCAAGATGGCCGAATAGGAACACCTCCACTCGGCAGCTCCCAGCGAGACTGACACAGAAGGTGGATGATTTCTGCATTTCCAACTGAGGTAACCAGTTCATTTCATTGGGACTGGTTGGACAGTGGGTGTAGCCCATGGAGGGTGAGCTGAAGCAGCCTGGGGCATCGTCTCACCTTGGAAGCACAAGGGGTTGGGAGTTCTCTCCCCTACCCAAGGGAAGCCATGAGGGACTGTGCCTGAGGAATGGAGCACTCCGGTCCAGATACTGCACTTTTCCTACTGTCTTCGCAACCTGCAGACTAGGAGATTCCCTCTGGTGTCTACACCCCTGGGTTTCAAGCACAAAACTGGGCAGATGTTCGGGCAGACACCAAACTAGCTGCAGGAGATTTTTTTTTTCCTCATACCCCAGTGGTGCCTGGAACGCCAGAGAGACAGAACAGTTCACTCCCCTGGAAAGGGGGCTGAAGCCAGGGAGCCAAGCGGTTTGGTTTGGCAGGTCCCACCCCCACAGAGCCCAGAAAACTAAGATCCATTGACTTGAAATTTTCATAGCCAGCACAACAGTCTGAGCTCAACCTGGGACACTCCAGCTCAGTGTGGGGAGAGGTGTCTGCCATTGCTGAGGCTTGAATAGGTGGTTTTACCTTCAGAGTGTAAACAAAGACACCCAGAAGTTTGAACTGGGCGGAGCCCACTGCAGCTCAGCAAGGCCACTGTGGCCAGACTGCCTCTCTGGGCAGGGCATCTCTGAAAAAAAGGCAGCATCCCCAGACAGGGACTTATAGATAAAACCCTCATCTCCCTGGGACAGAACTCCTGGGGGAAAAGGTGGCTGTGGGTGCAGTTTCAACAACTTAAATGTTTCTGCCTGCCGGCTCTGAAGAGAGCAGCGGATCTCCCAGCACAGCGTTTGAGCTCTGCTAAGGGTCAGACTGTCTCCTCAAGTGGGTCCCTGACCCCTATGTATCCTAACTGGGAGACAACTCCCAGTAGGGGCTGACAGACACCTCATACAGGAGAACTCTGACTGACATCTGGCAGGTGCCCCTCTGGGGCAAAGCTTTCAGAGAAAAGAATAGGCAGCAATCTTTGCTGTTCTGCAGCCTCTGCTTGTGACACCCAGGCAAACAGGGTCTGAGGTGGACCTCCAGAAAACTCCAGCAGACTTGCAGCAGAGGGGTCTGACTGTTAGAGACCCCATATGAAGGTTACCGACATCAAAGACCAAAGGTAGATAAATCCATGAAGATGGGGAGAAACAAAAATTCCAAAAACCAGCTTCTCCTCCAAAGGATCACAACTCCTCACCAGCAAGGGAACAAAACTGGACAGAGAATGAGTTTAATGAATTGACAGAAGTAGGCTTCAGAAGGTGGGTAACAAACTCCTCCGAGTTAAAGCAGCATGTTCTAACCCAATGCAAGGAAGCTAAGAACCCTGAAAAAAGGTCAGACAAATTGCTAACTAGAATAACCAGTTTAGAGAAGAACATAAATGACCTGATGGAGCTGAAAAACACAGCACAGGAACTTCGTTCATAAGTATCAATAGCTAAATCGATCAGGCAGAAGAAAGATATCAGAGATTGAAGACAAACTTAATGAAATAAAGCAAGAAGACAAAATTAGAGAAAAAAGAATGAAAAGGAATGAACAAAGACTCCAAGAAATATGGGGCTATGTGAAAAGACCAAATCTCTGTTTGATTGGTGTACCTGAAAGTGACAGGGAGAATGGAACCAGGTTGGAAAACACTCTTCAGGATATTATCCAGGAAAACTTCCCCAACCTAGCAGGATAGGCCAACATTCAAATTCAGGAAATACAGAGAACACCACAAAGATACTCCCTCGATAAAAGCAACCCCAAGACACATAATTGTCAGATTCACCAAGGTTGAAATGAAGGAAAAAATGTTAAGGGCAGCCAGAGAGAAACATTGGATTACCCACAAAGGGAAGCCTATTAGACTAACAGTGCATCTCTCAGCAGAAACCCTACAAGCCAGAAGAGAGTGGGAGCCAATATTCAGCATTCTTAAAGAAAATAATTTTCAACCCAGAATTTCGTATCCAGCCAAACTAAGCTTCATAAGTGAAGGAGAAATAAAATCCTTTACAGACAAGCAAATGCTGAGAGATTTTTGTCACCACCAGGCCTGCCTTACAAGAACTCCTGAAGGAAGCATTAAACATAGAAAGGAACAACCAGCACCAGCCACTGCAAAAACATACCAAACTGTAAAGACCACCAACACTATGAAGAAACTGCATAACTAACAGACAAAATAACCAGTTAGCATAATAATGATAGGATCAAATTCAGACATAACAATATTAACATTAAATTTAAATGGGCTAAATGCCACAATTAAAAGACACAGACTGGCAAATTGGATAAAGAGTCAAGACCCATCAGCGTGCTGTATTCAGGAAGCCCAACTCATATGCAAAGATACCCATAGGCTCAAAATAAGGGGATGGAGGAAGTGGAAAGCAAAAAGCAAAACAAAACAAACAAATAAAACAAACAAATGAACAAACAAAAAACAAAAACAGGAGTTGCAATCCTGGTCTCTGATAAAGCAGACTTTAAACTAACAAAGATCAAAAGAGACAAAGAAGGGCATTACGTAATGGTAAAGGGATCAATGCAGTAAGAAGAGCTAATTATCCTAAATATATATGCACCCAATACAGGAGCACCCAGATTCATAAAGCAAGTGATTAGAGACCTACAAAGAGACTTAGACTCCCACACAATAACAATGGGAGACTTTAACACTTACTGTCAATATTAGACAGATCAATGAGACAGGAAATTAACAAGGATATTCAGGACTTGAACTCAGCTCTGAATCAAATGGACCTAATAGACATCTACAGAACTCTCCACCCCAACTCAACAGAATATACATTTTTCTCAGCACCTCATCGCACTTACTCTAAAATTGACCACGTAATTGGAAGTAAAACACTCCTCAGCAAATGCAAAAGAATGGAAACCGTAATAAACAGTCTCTCAGACCACAGTGTAATCAAATTAGAACTCAGAATTAAGAAACTCACTCAAAACTGCACAACTACATGGAAACTGAATAAGGAGCTCCTGAATGAATACTGGGTAAATAATGAAATGAAGGCAGGAATAAAGATGCTCTTTGAAACTAATGAGAACAAAGACACAATGCAACAGAATGTCTGGGACACATTTGAACTAGTGTGTAGAGGGAAATTTATAGCATTAAATGCCTACAAGAGAAAGTAGGAAAGATCTAATATCACAATTAAAATAACTAGAGAAGCAAGAGCAAACAAATTCACAAGCTAGCAGAAGACAAGAAATAACTAAGATCAGAGCAGAATTGAAGAAGATAGAGACACAAAAAACCCTTCAAAAAAAAAAAATCAATGAATCCCAGAGCTGGTTTTTTGAAAAGATCAAGAAAATATAGACCACTAGCCAGACTAATAAAGAAGAAAAGAGTGAAGAATCAAATAGACACACTGATCCCACAGGAATACAAACTACAAACAGAGAATACTATAAACACCTCTACACAAATCAACTAGAAATCTTGAAAATCTAGAAGAAATGGATAAATTCCTGGACA